AGAATTCACAAGACTGAAATCAAACATTGGCAAAATTGCACTCTTTTCTGGGGAAGCTAGATGCAAATCCATGTTCAGGTTCATTCAGGTTTCAGCAGAATTCAGTTCCTAGCAGTTGTAGGACTGAGTCGACATTTCCTTCTTGGTTGGCAACCAGGGGTTGCTTTAAGGTTTTAGAGGCTGCCCATATCCCTTGGCTTATGGCCCTCTTCCTTTATCTTCAAAGTCAGCCATGGCAGTTGAGTCCTTTTTAAGTTGCATCTCTCAGACTGTAGCCATAGGGAAAGGTTATTCACTTTTCACTGGCTCATGTGATTAAATTGGACCTACTCAGATAATCCAGGATAATCTCTCCATGTCAATGCCCTTACCCTTAATCACATTTGCAAAATCTCTTTTGATTGTAACATAACATATTCACAGTTTCTGGGGATTAGGATGTAGAAATCTTTGGGGGCCATTAATGACAAATGATATAACCCGGGGCCCAATCTTGCCAGCCACTATTTTTGTAAATAAAACTTTATTGCAGAGCCACACTCATTTGTTATATATTGTCTATGGCTGCATTCACACTACAACCGCATAGGTGAGTAGACGGGACCGAGGCCACTATGGCTCACACGCTTAAAATACTTACTGAATCTTAACTGAAAAGGTTTGCTGACCCCTGCTCCAACAATAGCATAATGATTCTAACATCTCTTTGAAGAATATTAACTATGTATTATGAATAAAAAATAAACTGAATTTGAAATGTAATTGGGAAGAATGCTTTCTGAAGTTTCGAATTTAGGATGTAGCCCAAACAAACTGTTGCTAGAGAACAATTCTATCTCAATTTCAGCTGTTGGCAGAGCCATAAATCTGCTTGTCTAGTTAGCATTTCATGACTCTCCTATAAAAATTACCAAGAGCTTTATGCAGGCAAAACATCAGAAATTTCTCTCAAATGGACAGAAGCAAGGATAGGAGAGTAATTCAAAAAGTAAAGGGATACAAACCCCCCTGTGTAGAAATTATAGATGCATAGACTGTACTTCTCTAAGCTTTGCCAAGTGATTTCTAATTCCTTCGGTTGTTACCAGCCTTCGGTATTCATGGAAATACCCACTGATGAATGTTGGGATCTCTTTTCATTGTTTCTCATGCTTATCTAATAGTAACAAGCATATTCATTACAGTCCCCCATTGTGTTTTTCATTATTATTTACAAAGGCTATGGCGCATGATTAATTTTAGTGTACACACATAAAGCTTCCTAATTTCTTAGCTTTATTAGTATGCAAGCAAATATGGGAAACACACACACACACACACAAAGTCCAAATTCTCAAGAGAGATATTGTGAATATGACCATTTTAAGAACTACAAATAAATCTGGTGGATTATTTTCAATCCTGAAAGATAGTCGTAACTTTCTACCTAGATCATTTGAGTTGTTGCTCAGAGGAAGAAATAAAAAGAAAGGCAAGCCTAGACTGCAGAGACAGCAGGCCAGCATACTCATAGTCGTGTGTTTCTGCTAGAAATGGAACTACATAAAGACTTTTTATTTGGAAAAAGAATGTGTGATCTGGCTTGCAAAATTAATAGGGAACACAATAACTAAAATGAATTTATTTACTTAGTCTTCTGACTCATCTGTAAAGATAGGGATGTTATCTACCTTGGAAAGTCCCAGCAGGCTCAGAATTGTCAGCCCCAAGGCATCCTAATGGTGGGTATGTGTATGTGTGCATGTGATGTGTATATGTGTGTACATATAGGTCCATTCTACTGTACATCTGTAGGTCTCAATGATTACTTTCAATAAAATTATTAAATTTCCTTATGCATTCGAGAGTCTAACAATATTGATAGGTATAAATGTCACACTAAAGAAACCTTAAGTAACATAAAAAAACAAAAGTTTTTTTCTGGGAAAAGCAAATTTGGTATTTCTTCAGAGCAAGCAACTGCTATGCCTAAGTATTAAAGACCACAGGCCCTGATTCTATAGGTCATAAGAGTGAAACCATAATCCAAAAAAACTGAACTAAGAATGCTACCTGACTCAATGACTTACAAGCTGGTTAAAACTGCAATTGGCTTTGCTAAGTACAATTTGGATTCAAAATTCCAAATTGTGTTACCTATTCCTACCACTTCCCAAGGGTCTTAATATAATTAACATACTTGAAATGGTATCTGTTAAAAAACTTTCTTTTTAAAAAAAGCTTTTTAAAAGAACACATTTCATTTAGAAAATTTTTATAGGCTTTTCCTTATACTCATTATAACTATTAATTCCCATTCTTAATTTTTTTTCCACATGGTATGTGAAATGGATATAATTTGCAAGTCATTATTCTTTTCTGAGCTCAGAAAAGTACAGCAGATACTTCTGATATAATAGGCAGAAGTAGATGTGATATTAGAAATATGTCATATCTATAATAGTTTAATTTGAAGGCAATAATAGTGATAATATATATCTCTATAAAGTTATAGTTACAATGACATTTCAGCTTGTTCTAATCAATTTCAATTTTCATGTAAAAATTCATAAAAATTCATATCTTTTCTTTATATTTTAGGGAAGACTATTATATTTCAGTATATGCTTTTTTGATTATCTCTTCAATGGAAATAAACTAGCATCAGTATATCGAACATATTTTTATAAGACTGGTAATAAATATTAAGATACTCAGTACATCAGTCTTATATTCCTTCCCTCAGTGAACAATAAGGTATTTACAAATTCTAATTTGGATGGTAAATATAAATATAATAGGCATTAGAAATGCAAAACAGTAGAGCATGAAGGACTGTATGTATTGTACACACAACTAATAGGAATTATAAAACAGAGGGAAGAAATCAGGGATTGAGCAGTCTGGAGAGGTTCCCTCCAGGGTGTGGCTGTTAGTCAGGGTGGCACTCTGAGGACAGGCACAGGGGGGCCCTGCGAGTGAGGGGAGCATGGGAGTGAGAACACTTAGTAGCATTTTCTTTTTCAGCATAAACTTTTCTTCTTCCACTTCTCCTCCCTCAGCCCCCTTTGGTAACAGATGTGTCTAATTCTCTTAAGTCCAGGCCTTATGGAGTGGAGACATTGTTATTTTAGGGATCTGGTCAATCACACACTCAAAATATTGACAAACAGAATTGATTCTAAGTGACTTGGATAATATCTCAGCATTCTTATATTCTGACTTTCATTGTCATTCTAGTATCTAGCTGGTGCTTAATAAAATGTATTGACTGTACACTCTACTTTCCATATGTAGAAAGTCATTTTTACATGGTTTATCTCTTCTGTGAATCTATTATCCAAATATGTTCCCAGAAAAAAGCAGTTTGACTCAAAGCTTAAATCTGTTAATTTTAAATAGTTTTATTGAATTGAAATTGTGAGACTGTTTTATCAACACTATTTTTGAGGTTACTCTTTCTTCAACTTATGAGAAACAGTTATTTAATTAACATGGTCTTTAAATTCTAAATAATGATTTCATCTTTATTTAGGGAAGTTTTATGAATGTTCATTTACAGAAGTGTTTTCTCTCTAAGAAACACGGTATACATTCTGACAGTGTTGATTTTTTGGTAAGTAATTCAGGGAATTAATATCTTACAATTTTTTACCAATGCTTATAACTGGATAAGCATTACCATGATAAACAATGAAAGCAGACAAGTGAGTTAGTAAATATTTTTATAACAAATTTTGAACATATGAGTACAAAGGAATAAATCCCATACTCAAAAGCAATGTTAAAATTATTTCCCAGTTTTCAGTGCTGTGATGAGATTCAGGCTATTCTAAAGAATGAGGAGGTGCATATTGTAGAAATAAAACACATTCTCGTAGTTAAATAGAACCAGTATGGTCACATTTTGGCAAAAGTAGGAAAAGACCTAATAGCTTAAGTATCAATTGTGATGTTTAAAAGTTATTGCTGAGAGATTTGAGATTTTCACTGCACAATCTAGAAAGCTGAAGCATCTTAATAAAAAGTGGTTTACAGGAAAGATAATTGTCTTCTTTTTTTTTTTTTAATAAAACCAAGGCTGATTTTTTTAGGGGAAGTAAAAAATTATAAAATATAAAAAAATACATAAGTTTTATAAACCATAGGATGTGATTATAAATTCCATTGTATAATTCACTATGTCAATTTGAAAAATGACAATCTTTTGTGCTTCTCTTATTTGTATTTAAAAGTCAACCTCATAGAAATTTTGCAAGGAATAACAAATATGTACATGCAACGCATGAGACTGGCTTACTTTAATGGAGGAAGTATAAAAGCATAACTAAGAAAGCCTTAATAGGAATCACCTCTCTTGCCCCTATTCATCAATAATTTAAGTATTCAAAGTGAAAATGTAAAGGGGAAGTAAATATTTTAAATTTCTACAGAAGGTCTGAACAAGATCCAAAGAATTTCAGTTGCAGTTGTATGGGTTTAAGAAAGCACTCTTGTCATTCTAAATGGAAGATTTAGATTTAGGTCACTGGAGCACCCAGGTGGTTATAAGGAGCCCTTTCTAATCCTCAACTTAGTGCATTTAAACGTCACTCCATCCATTCTCCTACCCGGGAGCACCCTGGCGTTCTCTCTTCCCTTTGTACTATAACTGCTGTTACTGCAGGCATCTGAAATCTATGTATTTACATGGCAGTCTTCCTCACTATGTGGTGAGACAGGCTCTTATTCATCTCGATCTCCCCCACTGACTGGCTCAGAGCCCAACAAAATGTGCACACTGATAAACAACGTATTAGTTATTATCTTGAATAAACTGAGGATTTATCATGAACAAAAGCTTAAAATAATATGGCATATTGTTTCTATGTAATACATATTTCCATAACACATTAATTTATCTGCAACTCTAAAAAGCCTAGAAAATGTGTTCTGGTCTTTTATCGGTCAAAGAACGACTGTTAACTTTCGTTAAAAGATAAATTATTTAAGTGACTCAGTGCCAAATGCAGGATACTTACATTAGCCAAATGAGCTAGTTCTATCTCCAGGAACGAATCAGTTGTTTTGGGTTCAGGCCTTATTGTGACCACGATGATTTTGGAATTAACGACAGTATAATTTCTGAAACAGAGTAATTATGATTAAAAGGAGAAATGACTGATAACACATAGGAACTCCTACTGCTCAATACATGTTGGGATGACATGTCAAATAAATGTATCCTAAGCAAAAAAACGTACAGTTTATTTTTTGTTATAAATAAACCTTATTGGGAAACAGAACACTTTGGGGAAGAAGGGAGCTATCGCTCACTGTTACCATTTTAGATGCAGGGAAGATGAAAAAGCAATAGCACTGACAAGCTTTCGATTACTTAAATCTGATTCGCCTATGAGAGAGATGGATTGTGCATTTAAACCCTCAGGCAATCTTTAAATTAATATAATCCATTGATCTCAAGGTGGGCCTAACCGTTTTGTTCTCCAGGAGACCAAATATTCTTCTTACAAAGTGCTGTCTTGGCATTTTTAAGACCATCTCAAAATTCATGAAGATGAATGATTAGAATGTGGTAATAGCATGAAAGCAAGTGGAGTTTAAATATAAATAAATGCTGTGGATAATTATTGACAATCATTCATTTCAGCAATAGAGATTTATAGGCCACTTCTTTATCTCAATGTGCTCAAAGGAACATATCTTACCAAGTACAGTTCACTCACAGGAAGTTTTAAATATAATTACAAGTACAAGCTCCAAAAATTTAGACATAAATATAAAGATAGAACACTGAACCAACTCTATCTTGAGTGTATAGATTTTCATCCAACATGTATAAAATGCTGCACATCAATTATTTGGAGATTTAAAGATTTTATCGTACTTTTAGCTATTTGAAGAAATATATATTATATATACATACATGCGTGTGTGTGTGTGTGTGTGTGTGTGTGTGTGTGAGTGTGTGTGTGTGTCCATCCCTCCTTTTTGATTCAAAATAAACCACCTGCTCTTCCATAGACATGTACTACCCTGGAGGATTCATAACAGGTATCAAAGATAAAGTCATTTTATTTTTTTCCTTTTTGTTGTTTAAGACATTATTTATAGATAATAAAGTTCATCAATTTTAAGTGGGCCATTTAATGCTTTTGGTAATTGTATTCTACCATGTAAGCACCATCAAATGAAGATAAACCACTGATCCTTCATCCTAAACAATTCCCTTGAGCTCTTTTGCAGTACACCTCACCCACTCCCATGGCTCCAGACAACCACGGACATGTTGTCACTATCATCATTCCTTTCTCATGATTTTATTTTATTTAAATAGCATCATAAAGTACATAGACTTTGTTTTTGACTAAATTCACTTAGCATTATGTTTTTGAGATTCATCCATTTTGTTTCTCTTTACGGGTGAATCATAGTCCATGATATGGATATACCACAATTTGTGGTCTATTCATCAATTAAGTAAGCAAACATTGGGGGGCTTTTGATTTTTACCTTTCACAAATAGTAGCTATTCATATTTGGCCATTATGTATAATTGGCAATACATACTTTCTGCATGGGTGTGGACCCTTATTTGTCTTGGGTAAATACCTAGGAGTGAAACCTCTTGATCATGTGGTAAAATCATGTTTAATTTTATAAGTTGCTGCCATATTGTTTTTTTAAAATGGCTATACCATCAAAGTCATATAATTCTAATATCACAGAACAATGTTGAACTTCACATTCTTTATAAAAATGTTTTTTCTTATGAGATGGTTTTTGCCACAAGATTTCACCAAAAAAGAATGCTAACTATGCCATAGTTGAAGGAATTTACTATGTTTAGTAGTAGAGGAACTATAAACACATAAGTGGGAAAACGTTTTTAACCCATCTCTCATGTATTTAGTAATGTCAACAAACTTAAACTTTCAGAAAGCTTCCTGGCATCCAGCCTAACAGTAAATTGTAAAAACAACAAAGTTAAATTGATTTTCATATTTCTCATGGGAAGACACTTGCAAACAGACAGAGCTGGCAAACTGTCCATTATTTCATTTAATACTAAATGAGTATATTGAGATGGATATGAAAGAAAGCTCTAAATGCCAAGCTCCCTTTGTAAACTTGTTCTGCTTCTCTGTGAATAAAAGTGATCAGGGGGTCAAATGAGAATGATGGAATTAACAAAGCTGTGAGGTGACACTGGGCAATTAATTATATTAGCAGATCTGACAGGATTCCCAGAGAATGACAAGGTGTATGTGGCTTGGAGTTGGGGAGAATGTCTGTCTGTCACCACCAAAAAAATATGAAGGTTTCTCCCAGAGAACAGTCCTGAGCCACAGATGCAAGTCTCTTTGTTTCTTTTCTTTTCTTTTTTTTTTTTGTTTTGTTTTGTTTTGTTTCATCTTAGCCTGAATGTGTTTGAGTTCTGGTTTGGTTACCCAAAACAAAAATATTTATACATCACCCAAATTCAACCTGTCCCTTTATTCTGGTTGTGTTTATAATCCCATTTCTCTGCTATAAAGAAACTCAATGGTAATTTAACTTAACTGTCAGTTTTAATTAGTAAATGGTCAATTTGAAAGTATACAGATATTTTGTATTTTGTATTATTTTAAAAGTTGCATATGCTAATTTTCCAGGAAATACAAATATGGGTATTCCAAAGAGAAGTTTATAATCTTGTTTATTATGTTTATAAAGTTCTCTTTGTGTGTATAGACACGTAGGGATTTTCGCCCTGGGAAACTGGGCTGTGGAAAGCAAAGTAGCTAAGATAGGAGCCTTCTGTAGAGTATGTTACTTTGTGTCCGGTTCATCAACTATTCAACTGGCCTGATGGAGTCTGCCTTATGGCTTTCACTTTGTGTGTGTGTGTGTGTGTGTGTGTGTGTGTGTGTGTGTGTGGGGGGGGGGGGGGGGTGAGGAGCTTATTTAGAATACAATTGGGAAGAGGTGAAAGTCAACATATTTATGCAGATAGTTATTCTTATCACAATTACATGTGTACTCCCCAACTTTGTGTTACTAACGTACCTATCTCGGCCACAGCATCCATTAATGCTACGTATGACCACTTCCACAATATTATAAGTTCAATGAAGGCAAGATCTGTATCTGGCATTTATATATCTTCATCTGTATTACACTTGGCATATTTGTGCTAACACATATTTGAATGTCTTATTAAATAAACACATACTTAAAAAAATCAAACTTTTGACCAAGTTGGTTTAAAATATTATTCTAATAGCATGATATTAAAATGCTTAATGAAGGAAAAATAAACAAATTTACATTAGGCAAATCCCCTTTTAGAAAATGCACAGTGTACAAAATTACCTTTAATTTATTCCATCAATTTAGTCTAATTTGCTTAAGTGACTAGCTGGCTCCTTATGTGCCATATTAGGCTTTGTGATCTACCAATGCTTCCTAGTAGGGTCCACATTTGTATTCACTGCTAGGAAAGCAGATCGTACAGCCAAATGGATTTTATGACTAAAGTAATAAAGGTCTCTCCTGTCCTTGAGATTTGTGCTACTTGGTATCTATAGCATTTTAAAATGTGCAGAATTATTCACTCAAAAGAGACCTTAGTTATTCTTCACAATTTTTTCAAAGGCTTAAGGTGCATAGGGTCCATGAACCTTATATCAAAGAGAGTAAAATGTGATTAGAAAATGCAATACAGCTTTTTACAAGAGATCCACATTAGGTATAAGGACATATACATAGACTGAAAATGAGAGATGGAAAACAATATTTCATGTAAATGCTAACCAAAAGACAGCAGGGATGGCCATACTTATAGTCATTAAGTCAAAAACTGTAATAAGAGGCAAATAAGATCATTATACAATGATAAAAGTGCCAATTCACCAGGAGGATATAACAATTAAAAACATATAAATACCTAACAGCAGAGCACCCAAATATATGAAGCAGTGACAGAACTTAAAAGAATTGGATAAAATCCTATAAATATACAATCTACCAATACTTATTCATGAAGAAATGAAAAAGAAAAAAAGGTCTAAACAGACCTATAACTAGTAAGATTGAATCAGTAATCAGAAACCTCCCAACAACAACAAAAAGCCCAGGACTAAACGGATTCACTGAAGAATTTTATGAAACATGTAAAAAAGAATTTCTTCCCAAACTCTTCCAAAACATTGAAGGGGAAAGAACAATTCACAACAGTATTATCCTGATACCAAGATCAAAGATGTCATAAGAAATGAAAACTACAGGCCTATATGCCTAATGGATATTGACGCAAACATTTTAAACAAAATACTGGCCAACCAATTTCAACAACATGTTAAAAGGATTATATACCTTGATCAAGTGGAGTTTATCTCTGGGATGCAAGGATAGGTCAACATATGAAAATCAGTCAGTGTAATACAGCACATTAACAGAATGAAGGACAAAAACCACATGGTCATTTCAATTGATAGAGAAAAAGCATTTATAAAAAAATCAACAAAAACTTATAACAAATTAGGTATAGAAGTAATGTACCTGAACATAATAAAGGCCATACATATATAAAAAACACACAGTTATCATCATACACAATGGTGAAAAACTGAAAATGTTCACTGCAAGAGGAAGGAATAAGGTAACAATGCACCTCTATTCAACGTAACACTAGAATTCCTAACTAAAGCAATTAGGCAAGAAAGAGAAATAGGGCCGGCCAAGTGGCACATTGGTTAAGAGCTGGCTTGGGATGCCAGAAGGCCCCGGTTTGGATCCCACATATGAGGGCCAGTGACACTGCCCTCTACAGCTAAGATGCTGAACAATGGCTCAGCCTGGAGCTGGACTGCTGTGAGTTGCTGGCGACGGCGTGGGCTGCAGCCCCTGTGGCAGTGGGTTGCCATGGGCTAGCATGTGTGGCCAGCAGCCAGCGAGAGCGGCCAGCAGCCACCGTGAGCGGCCATCCAGAAGCCGGCGACTGATCTGCCTCACCTGGGAAGAGCGCAATGATGGTGCCAACTTGGGCCAGTGAAGCAACGTCCTCCACAACTAGACTGAAGAACAAAATGACAGCAACTTGTCTGTTCCCCTTCCCCCAATTCCCCAATAAAAAAAAATCT